TCTTTGTCATCTTTTTCGGCAGTTCATCAACTCTTTTGGAAAAGGTTGCAAATTCTGGAAATGTTGTCAGACTTCATTGTTCAGTATTATTGCCACGCCATGTCGATGTTATGTGTCATTATCACCCGAATAGTATATTGTATAGTCTCTAACTTTACATTTTCCATTTTCTATCCATCGGGTTTTTGCTTCTTCTTCTTTTTACGGTGCCTATCCGTTCCGGATGTTGGCGATCAACATGGCTATCCTAACTTTGCTTGCTGCTATTCTGAATAGTCCGGTTGTCGATGTATTAAACCACTTTCTCAGGTTTTGAAGCCAAGATATTCTTCTTCTCCCTGTCCTCTCTTTCCAAATACCTTGCCCTGAAATATGAGTTGCAACAAGCCGTATCTCTGTTCATTCCTCATAACATAGCCAAGATATTCTAGTTTGCGCTCTTTGATAGTGTTAATAATCTCGCATTCCTTGCCTACTCTACGTAGGACCCCAACATTAGTCACACGATCCACCCATGAAATTCTTAAAATACGGCTGTAACATTACATCTCGAATGCCTCGAGTTTTCTTAAAGAAGCTTCAGAAAGTGTCCAGGCCTCTACTCCGTATAATAACGTAGAAAATACATAGTATCTAATGAGAGAAATTTTGGTAGCAAGTATAAATCGTGACTTCATCAGAGACTTCATCATTATGAATGCTGATCTCGCTTTTCCTATGCGTTGTTTTATTTCACTGGAGTGATCCCATTGGCTGTTAATGTTGGTACCAAGGTATGTGTAGCTGTCCACTCTGTCAATTGGATGTTGGTTAACCAAAAGCTGTGTATTTAATATTTCGCGCTTACTGACTACCATGTACTTTGTTTTCTTCGTACTAGGTATCAAGGTATCAAGAAAGGTATCAAGAAAGAAAGCCGTCTCGCAGATCAAACAGGTTTAGCTTTAACAAAGAAGGAAAAGACCTTCAAGAAATATCCTTAAAAAGAGAACTATTAAAGCAAATCTTGAGCAAACCCAGAAATGGTTGTATACAACATAACCTAGAATTAAACAATAGGAAAATTTTAATCTTTCAATAATTATTCCTTCATTTTTTTCTAGTATCAAACTAATACTTTAGCTGATGACTTCAATAGGAACAAATCTTTGCATTGTACAAATTATTAGATTTTAATAAACAGAACAATAGGTTAATAAACCTCTCTTGAATATTTTTGTCTAAATGCCTGCATTAAACAGTCGATCAAACGTTATCTCGAGTGGTTTTCACTGAAGTAGACTAATTTTTAAAAGGTAGTATTAATTGTGTAAATATGTCGAATAGACATGGAAAACAAAACACGGTTTTAACGTGGAAGCGAAAGTGTAGAGTGTTTTTTTGTGACTGTTGTTTTGCAAAAAAGATTTTGAGATGTTATAAACCTACCCAGAGGCAGACTAATAACAAAGGGATCAAAGGTAAGGATTGTTGTTGTTTTTAAAATATATATACAGATAATTTTAACCTCAAAAATAGCATAATAGACTGCGGGATCTGTCGAAAAGCATCCCATAATGAAAATTTTCAGTGGAAGTCAATTTTCTGCTGGAATCGCTTTAGGATATACATTGTATCAATAAACACGATATGCGCCAATCGCAAACCTTTTTTATTTAACAAAAACTTAAAATTTAAAAAATTTAAAATTTTTGCATTTGGCAGGTGTTATAAATTTAGTTTACTCTGATTTATACTACTAGTATTACCGCCGAAAACCGCCGTTTTCCAACTTCCTTCGCCACTTAGTCCGACTGTTCCATAGGTTTTCTCCTATGGCCCTCTCTCTCAGTTCTTTATTTATTCCTTCGCTTCAACTTTTTCTCGGTTTACCTCGTTTTCTGTTCTTCTTCTGGTTGCCGTTTTATTATTTTTTTTGATATTCGTTGTTCATCCATTCTTTGTATGTGTCCAAACCAGATAAGTTGTTTTGTTTTTCGGTTATTATCGTTTGATTCCCACTATTTCTCTAATGCGTTCTTTAAAATAAGTAATGACAATTAGCCAAATTAGTTTTATTCACTGTTATCAGTCTACATAAAAAGCAGTGTTTATTATTTAAAAATAAAACATTATATTCCATTATTTACATTCTCACTAGTCTTGAGTTCGTGATAAAGTGGATGGTACACTGGAAATTTGCAGAAGGAAAAGCAGGTCTCAATTTTTTTGATGGTTTATAGGTTTAGGTCCACTTTAAACAGGTTCTAATGTAGGATCCATCTGCTGTCCTCTGCGTTTAGTAATTAGTTTAGAAAAATCAAGGCCCTTATGGAAATATTTAATTTCTATATCACCCAACTCTTTACCAAAACGTAGAACTTTTATATTATGGCATTTCACATTTTCATTATCCACACCATTATCACGCTTTTCATAGATATTTTGGAAAACCTTTTAATACGCTAGAAAATATTTGCTCTGCATTTCGATAACTTAACATTTCTTTTTACCAGGACAGCTTTAACAAACTGGTACCAGTCATAAGATATCCTTAGTTCAATTTGTGAAGATTTTTTGGCACGCTCAATTCTCGCATGGTCGGCATCACATTCCATTCTAGTATGACCCACTTAGCGGAACTTGTGTTGATCTATAAACAAATAAAGATAGTGGTCCTGCAACAATGTTATTTTTCATTTGCCCGGGGCAAGAATCCGAATACAGAACAACTGTTCGACTAAGCTGTCAAAGCATTTAAAAAAAATAGGAAGCTACTTAACCTGATCCACGATCTAACAACCCCCCGTGCCATATAAAACACGAAGTGATATTTTCATTGCATTTTCTGATGGTGAGGTTATATATTTAGAGCAGTCTTTTACAGTAGACTACATTTATGCTTAAACAGGATATTAACTAAGAGACACCATTAAAACAATTACAATACCAAAGTGCACAGAAAGATGGACTAAGAAACTTTTAGAATAGACACTTAAACACGATGCTTACCGTAATCGAGGACGTCCTCCAACAAGGTGGTCAAATAATATCAAGCACATCCAGCACAACTGAATTCGGGGTGCTTAAGATCGGATGCAATGGCATTATTTATGAGAGACCTATGTTCAGCAGTGGACTCAAAACGGCTTATAATGATAACGATTAAATGAACTTATATCATTTGCTAACTAAGTTACTACTCAGTAAGAACCGCTATGTACCTTTTTTACTATTATTAATAAACAATGCACAGATAACTAAGTTTGCTTTTACATTTTTAAAAATTATACAAAAAAAATCATATGATTTAATTCTCTATACCGATGCTTCTAAAACTACCACTTGTGTAGGCTACCACCACTTAACATGAACCTGTAAGATCATCTCGGTCACCAGCAGCGTTTACAAAGGTGAACTATATATGTAGTATTATGTTGACTTTTAAATACATCTCCCATAAAAACAGATACATTGCTATTTGTTTAGATTCCCTTTCATCTATCCATTCAGTCAATACAATTTTCACTGACCACCTATTAGTTCAAAACATTCATGACATATACATTCTTATACTGGAAATACTGGTAATGAAACAGCAGATCATTTTGCCAAAAAAGCTATCAACCATAGTACTGGAGTCACCCCAATTTATTTAGCTTACGATGCCAAACCTTTTTTCAAAAAGTAGAGGATACCTGGCAAATCTTATGAAAAAAGAACAAAACAACTGTTCATGGAATCCAACTGTTCATTGGTCATCTCTCCCTGGATTTTCTAAATGGACGAGAAGCATTAATTATTATAAGACTTTGAATCAACCACAACAGACTTACCCATGGTTTTTTGATATCCTCTGGAACTCTTCCAATTTGCCACCATTGCAATGTTTATACCACTGCATATATCGTTACGGAGGTTGCCCACGTCTTATATATTAATATATGATCAATTTGATTAAATTTATTAGTACCAGGTATCATTCAGGTTCCTTTATGAATATTTTTATGAGTAAAACACGTACTAACAACTCTTAGTTTGTTTGCCATTGCCAATTGTGCCCCTCTTACATCGCTGTTGCTGCTAATATCATGTAAACTATGCTTACCAAAGTATTCTGCATATATCGGCTCGTTTCCCAGCTTCGCATTCATATCACCCAGGAATATAACTGCATCTCTCTTCTGTGCTGTTTCACATGCTACATGTAGATGGTTGGTTTTAATAATTATTTATTATATATTTAATATTGTATTGTTTCGATACCAGTGGCCATAGTTGTCGAGGTACTTTATGTAAATAAAAAAATGCTTTTAATTTAGTGGTTTATATAACTAATTTTACTTTTAGTTTAAGGTTTTCGGGTTTAGGTTTCTGTTAAAAATTTAGTTTTATAAAAAGTTTCCGCCACCAAAAAAAATTGAGAACCGCTGAGATAGATAATATAGAAATATCACCATAAAATAGTTTTAAAATCATCAGAAATGATTTGACTTATGTGTATAAGTTCTAATGTCATTTCTTCGTAGTTTTAATATAATAATATTAAATTTCTACTGTTTTATTCGAGCATTTTAACCAAGTTAATCGATAAAAGTTCGTCGACTAACATAAAAATATTTTTTTCCTTTGCCGAATGAACACTGTACCAAACTTTAATAACATTCAGTATTTAAATCACATGCACTTCTGTCAGATTTGGTAAACGCCGACCGTTCATTGATCAAACAATCACGCCCGCCGTTGTGAATATTTTCCAGCCGGAATGTAAACAGTTTGGTAGCTTGCTACATTAAAAACACTTCCACTAAAGTTATTTTTGAAAACAGCGCCATACAAACGCTTAAAACAACGTTTTACTGAGTAAACGTGAGTGAAGTATTAGTTTTTGTTCAGTGAGAAAGAAACAAGCTATTTACATTACAATTCAAATAGAGTTTATTAAAACCATGCCCGAGCTGTTATATAAAAGTGTATATGACTGTAGTATTAATGTCAGTGTCTCACATAAACGAAGTTATGTCAAAGCTAGCTGTTGACTATCACAGTAATAAACATTTGTCATTTTGGCATATTTACAATTATACACTCAGTTTTGGATTAAAAATGTTAAATTTTTCTATTGCAACCGAAAGTGATCGCCGGGAGGCTGCTAAAATAGAACAACGTCGTGCCAGAGAAGAAGAACGAAAGCAAAGAATATTTAATCCCCGTGCCAGACTTATAGGGATCGACGCAATAGCCTTGCGACACCAAGTAGAAGAGAAAAAACAAAAAAATTATGAAGATAGAAACATTGATAAAATATTCAAAGAACAACTAAAAAAAGCCGACGAAATTGCTCTAGTTCTTGAGCAAAAAGAATGTGAAGAACGTAGAAGAGTGCAGCAAGAGATAAATAATTTTAGAAAAGTGTACCAACGTCCAGAAGATAGAAGAGAGTTTGACCTGAATGATCCCGAGTCTAAGAAAAAGCAGTTGCCATGTAGAGTTCATGACGACGATCCAAGGTTGGGCATTTCAGCAGCACAAAAGTTCGAAGGAGAAGATTTAGTGTCAGAAGAGAGGCGCAGAATGCAAAACGAAGAAACTAAAGCGTCCTTGGAGCAACAAATTCGGGAAAAAGCTGGTGCTGAGAAAGAACAAAAGATGGCCGAAGATGCTTACATAGCAGCAATGATAGCTAGAGACCAAAGAGCGCTGGAGCTTGATGCTTTGGAAAATATGTGTAGAAAAAAAGTTCAAGAGGCTGCAGTCAAATTTAACCAAGCATTAGCGAGCGAAAAACTTTGTGAAAAACAAAAAGCTGAAAAACAGAGGACAGAAGATAACTTGGCCGATATATGTAACTTTTTAAACAGTGATTTAATGACCGAAAATCCAGACGTTGCCCAAAGTAATTTTCCTGGCAAAAAAATCACTTCTTGCTACAAAGGCCTTACGGCAGCTGAACGTATAGCTTTTAAGAAGGAATTACTTCAACAAATAGAGCAACAGAAACAACTAAGGGAATTAGAAAAAAGACGAAATAGAGAAATGGATGCCTACACTGATGGTACGCAGAAGAGCATCTACATGCTAGACCAAGAGCTAAAACTCAAAGAAAAGGAACGAAAAAAGAAGCTTGCCGAGGAAAATCTTAAATTGGCAGAAGAACAGAAAAGCCGTAAGCGATATTTAGATAAAGTAGTGTACTCCAATATACCTTCAGATGAGTTTTATGATCAGTTTAATCGGACTGTAAGATGAAGTGGAGTTATATTGCAGACACAAAAAATGTTTATATGTTTAATAAAGAAAAAACAATATATGTATTTTTTAAAAGATTATTCTTTTTAATAAAAACCATAATCTATCCAACATAATCAATTTTTGTTATATACACATTGTGTAAAACTTTAAGCTACTTTGTATTGCACATTGTGGTAGGTCATCTTCTTTATAATGGCTTTATGTATTTTTATTTATGATCTTCTTCGCGTGCCATATCAAAATTATCCGACGTTCGCGATTACTGTTACGAAGGCTTCTCGATGTTCTTCAATATGGAATAATTGTCCTGTCCTGGAATCCTGTCCTATGGATTAATTTGATATCCGAGTGCTGTCACGAATGTTTTTTAACCAGAAACTTGTTTTTCTCCTACACCTCTACGGACCTCTATTTTGTCTTTAAGGATCAGTTGTAATAATTTATATCGACTCCCCCTTACTATTTGTCCTAGATTTTTCGACACATTTTTCGATGTTTAACAGTCTTTAGCAGTTCTCTATCTTTGTTGACGCTCCTTAGTACTATTTCATTAGTTTTTCTTGCTGTCCAAGGTATCTGTAGCATTCGGCTATGAACCCACATTTCCAATGCTTCATTTTTATTCATGATACTTTTAGCGTCCACACTTCTGCACAATACAAAAGTACAGACCAAACATGGCACTTAACCATTATTTGCCTTAGTTCTAAACTGAGATGGTTATTTCAAAGAAATTACTTCATTTACATAAAATCAGTTTTAGTCATTGCTATTCTACGTTTTATTTCTATGTCTGGATCTAGCTTGTCCATTATCACAGTTCCCAAATATGTCATTTTGTGAACTTACTCAACTTGGACTCCGTTTGATTGAAGCTTTGCATCGGGATGTGTGTTACGATTAAACACTATTGTATCATCTGCATATCTAATCACATTAAGTAGTTCCCCGTTCATTTTTATTCCATATGGTTGTCTCTTAAGTGCCTTTTTAAATAACTGGTCCGAGTAAACATTGAACAATGTTGGCGATAAAATGCAACCTTGTCTGACACCTCATTGTATGGAGATTTCATCGGTGTAGTTATCTCAAATTTTTTAGTATTATTTATAATAGTAATAACAATTCAAAGAGATACCAAAGCTTTTTTTTTCTTCTTCTTCTTTTTCTTCTTCTAGTACCAAGTCTATTAATGAAGATTTGCTATAATCATTGCAGTCGTCTGTATCTTCTACTTTTCTTTAAAGCGTCTGTGTGTTTAACCTAGTCCAGTCACGAATGTTCTTCAACCAAGAAATTTGTCGTCCACTATAACCCCTTTTTTCGTTCAATTAAACCCTCCATAATCAGCTGCATTTGCTTCAAGATTGGCTTGAAGCTTCAAGCATTGGCTGACCACCGCATCGACTACCGATATATTGTCTTGATGAAGAGGTATTGTCTACGAAACGGGTACAGCTTATGTTCGACTTCATGAAAGTACCAAAAAGTTTCAAACAGAACGTAAAATTAGACAGGGTTTCAATATTTCCCCAAAGTTGTTTATAGCTATACTTTAATATATGTTTAAGAAAGTGGTACAAAAGCATAATGTGGGAATTAATATAAATAGCGAGGATCTAAACCACCTAGGATTTACCGATGACATCGTTACAATATCTGATAGAGTTGATAAAGCTACAAAAATGCTAAAAACGTACTATGAAGCATCAAAAACATCAAAGAAAGCTTTCCTTCCATTTCGTTTAAAGGATCTTATAACACATCGTACAACAATTTTCACTATTTCATTTATGATTCTTCTTCTTCTTCTCGTAGTACTACAACCCGGGGTGGGTCTTGTGGACATCCTAAGGGTCTTCTTCCTGTGGGGGCTTTGGACATAGGCAGCCCATCTTAGACATTGGGATTTAATCTCTTGGACTATGTCGCTCGCTCTATACATCTGTTTGACCTCAGTATTTTTTCTCGTTCGGTATTGGTTACTATTAATGTCGTGATAGGACCTAAAGATTCTTCTGATGATTTTCCTCTCAAAACATACAAGTTTTCTTTCAGTTTATTTGATCAGGGTCCATGTCTCACACTCATATATAAGGACCGGTCTAATCACCGTTTTATATATTCTAATCTTTGATGTTCATGTTAGACTTTTAGATTTAATAGTATTATGGAGGCTGTAGATACATCTGTTTGCTGCCTGAATTCTTTCTTTAATCTCTTTTGCGATATCGTTATCTGCAGTGATTGTTGCTCCGAGGTATTTAAAACTCTCCACTCTTTCAAAGTTATATGGGTCTATTGTAACAGTTTGCCCTATTCTATCTCGTCTCTTTTGTCTATTAATGCACATGTATTACGTTTTCTCTTCGTTTACCCTTAAACCAGTTTTTTTTGCCTCTACCTAAAATGTATTAAAAGTCTTTTTCACATTGTTTATGTGATCTATGAGATCTATGTTTTCTGAAGCCGGCTTGGTATTCTCTCATGAAATTTTCTACAAACGTGTTAGCCTACTTAATAGGATGTTTGATAAGATTTTATATGCTGTATTAAGGAGATGCCTCTATAATTGGAGTGCTTGGTTTTGTCTCCCTTGTTATAAATGGGGATTATTACACTTTCGTGCCATCATGTTGGTATTTTCTCTTCGTTCTATATAAGAATTATTAGTTTGGGTATTTGTCTATGTAGAGTTTTTTCTTTGTACTTAAGGAATTCAGCCAGTCTATTGTCAGAGCCTGGAGCTTTTCCGTTCTTCAATTTGTTAATTGCTTGCAATGTTTCATCTATTTTGGGGTCTTCTACCAGTAGGTCCACCCCAAAAAATATATTTTCTCCATGTTCTTCCTCTGGATGTATGTTTAGTAATGTCTTGAAATATTCTTGCCATGTTTGGAGCAGTTCTTTTTCATTTCCTATTAATTCATCATTTTTTCTGAGTGCAGACACGCATCCAGGTCTTAAGCCTTTCTTTTCGTTTGACACAGATTTGTAAAATGCTCGACTATTTGACTGTTGACTATGTCTTTCCATTTCTTCGTGTCTGTTGTTCGTACTTCCTTTTTCTCTCTAATTAATTTTCTTGTTTCTTGGCTTGAAGTTGCATAGTTTTCTTTTCTTTCTGCTGTTCCTTATTGAAGCATAATGTTTCGCTTTATCTGTCTATCGTGTAGTTTTTCTTGACATTCTCTATCAAACCATTTCCTTGTTCTCTTCCTGTTTTTTCCTATTATTAGTTCTGCTGACTCCGTAATTGATTTTTACATTTCTTACCACAGCTTTTCGACATCATTGCTCTGGTCTACTGCTACATCCTACTCTGGTTTAATTTCTTGTCTGTAATTTTCTCGGATTTTTTCATTTTGCATTTTCTCGATGTTCCACTGTCCCAATGCTTCGTTGGCCATAGATTTCTCTGAAGATATTTTCAATCTGATTTTTGCTTTTACTAGGATATGGTCTGTATCTCTATTTACCCCCTGAGTCTTCTTACATTCAACACATTACTTCCATGCCTAGCATCGAAAGTAATGCCTAGTTTTTATGTTGGACCATAGTAAAATTTACAAGCATATTGTTAGCTGATACTAGCTCTACGAGCCTTTGTCCATTATCGTTTGAGATATCGTGGAGGCTGTGTTGTCCTATTGTCGGCCTTAGGTTAGGTTCTTTGCCAATTTTTACGTAGAAGTCTCCACAGATTATCTGCATGTCTTGTTTGGGGGTTTTTGCAAGCGTTCTTTCGAGTTGTTCATAAAAGTAATCTTTAATATATTCGTCTTTATCTTCTATCGAAGCATGTGTGGATATAATTGAGATATTGTACCATTTTACTTTCAGTCTAATATAACAAAGTCTACGTAGTCCATTCCTACTTTTTCTAACTGTTTTATTGCCTGTATAGATGCTACCGTCCGGTACCAACTTAAAACATTCCATGTTCCAATATTAAAAGTCCTTGACCATTGCGATTGTCGTTTTCCATATGTATCTGTTTGATTCTGAGGCAAACTTGCAGTTTTCATAAAATACTGTTTTTTATAAGGGCAGGCTGTTGGCCTTCCGCTTAACCCTCTTCCTTTATCCAGGCTTGGAACCGGCAATAAAAACTGTTGAGCTACTCGATCCACCCAACAGTCATTACAGGCGGAGTTCCATTTATGATTGTGTCAAAGTATATAATTTTCAAAGTAAAAAATTATAAAAATACGGCCTTAAAATAATCTTGATGTTGATTTATTAAAAAACGATTGACGTCGACCCACGCAATTTTATTTTTCCGATTTTCCTTTTCCTGACCGATAGGTTATAAGCCCTTTTTTTATTTTATCAATAAGGGTTTCTACCTTCGACAAAAAGTGTCTAAACCGATAAAAGGTTTGTGTTCGCGTCAGACTTCGCAAAAATATCGGGACGTCCTTCCGCTTTGTAGGTATCGAGAAAAACAGTCACATCTGATTCCGAACTAAGCCCTACTTCAAAAACCCTTCTGGTCTAATTCGTGACGTATCGATTTCCTGCGAAAGATACTGGGTGAAACCGACACTCCTTTCTTTCTGGTTTTTAGTACGGTTTGTAGAACTTTAGAGTCTAAAAATTTGAGGTAAATTAATGTAATTGAAGAGCTTCTTGCAAAATAGTGGTAAGCCACAAAATAATAAAATCGAGATATTAATATTTAAAGTCTTAAAAAAATCTAGAACATATTGCTTTAAATGTAAAAACCTTAACGCTTGTTATTTAATTATGTTATTTATTAAGTTCCATGTGCATTCATTATTTCACATAAAAAAATACATATTTACATAAAAAATATGTTTATTCGAAAAAAAATGTGGCTTAACGTGTTCTTAAATTAAAAAAATCATAACACAAAAAACGATAGTCGAAAAAAATCTTACACGTATCAGAACGAGGTAATTCAAACCGAGTTACAGTAAATTTACTGTTTGTACTTTGAGAACGATTTCCGAAGTGGAAATTGAAACGTCAATAAACGTATTTTTATCTTTAATTGTGGCTTATTCCCAGTTAAATAGTAATTAAAAATAACAGAGAAACAACAATTAAAGCTATTAGGAAGATTAGATCATTTTTCGTTC